CGTGCGACTGACACAGCAGCGAGATGACCGCGCTTACCACGACATCGTGGACGTCACGCCCAAGGTGAAGGTTCAGAAGGTGAAGAAGACGTTCTTGAAGAAGGAGCGTGACCGACATGGGGAGCTCGAGGGGTCCAGGCAGCCTCGTGTGGACCTGAGGGCCCTGGACGCCATTGAGGCACAGGCCAAGGAGGAGGAGCCGCCTGAGCAGCAGCAGCTGCCGCAGCTTCCCCCTCCGAAGAGGGAACGTTCTCGTTCCCCTCCAGGGCGGATATCCTCTGAGGTGTACCCGAAGGCCTCTCCGGGAGCATCGGGCTCTGGCGGCCCTTCGGTGCCGCCGATTCCCAGAGACGATTTCGAGCTTGAGCGAAAACGGAAGTTCCTGGTAGATGACGTGCCGATTTGCATCAAGAAGACGCGTCTGCAGGCTGCTCCTACGAGTGGTTTGCCGGCCCTCCGCGAAGTGGCCATGAACGCCGTTGTGCACTCGGGGCCTCAGGAGTGGTTCGACCAGAATGCCTTGGATGGTGTCTCCACGCTCGTTCAGAAGGTCGTACGAGGAGTACGTGTACACCGAGAGCCACGGCGGAGACTCTATGATCACGACCGCCACCGGGAGTGCAATCGCCTCTCGGTGATGCTCTCCGCTACGGGCCAGTGTGCCTACAAGGACGACGGCGCGAACCGTGCCAACGAGCGCACGGAGGACAGCTGGGTTGGTCTCACGCTTTTCTACCACGACAAGCCGGACGCTCATGCACAAGGGGTGTACTATTTGGACACTCCGGAGGGGCTTGTACGACAGCCGATGACTTACGAAGAATGGATCAACGTGTCATCTGTGTATGACGCATGGCTGCAGGAGGCCAGGTACGAGCACGACGTGTTCGCACTCGTGATGAAGCAGAACGCGAAGGAGCTAGACCCACGTCACTTCAACCAGCACGAGAAGGCTAAGTTCGACGAGGCCGATGCCGCCGAGTGGCGGCAATGGATCGCCAACAACACGGTCGAGCTGGTCACCGAGGAGGAGGAGAAGAGCATCCCGAAGGACAAGATCATCTCGGTGCCCATGCGTTCGGTTCGCACGAACCGGGGGCGAGGGCCGGAGCTGGAGGCGAAGTCTCGCTTGATCATCCCTGGCCATCTCGATCCGCAGCTTGGTCTATTCAGGACGGATTCGCCTACTACTTCCCCTTTGGCTGTGCTGGTGTGTGCGTCTATCACAATGGCGATGGATTGGACATTCGAATGTTTCGACGTAGCGACTGCGTTCCTGTCCGGGCTGAAGCTGGAACGGGAGCTGTATGTGAGGGCTCCTAAGGACGGGCTTCCAGCCGTCGACGGTGCTGGATGGCCAGCCGTGCGGCCTTATGCGTTGCTGCGCTTGCTGAAAGGGGCGTACGGTCTGACTGAGGCGCCTCGGTTGTGGTATCTCCGAGCCCGCCAGGTGTTGACGGACGAGGTCGGTTTCGTGGAGCTGCGCTGTGCTCGAGCTGTCTTCGTTTATCGAATGAAAGACAAGTTGATCGCTATGTTGACCTTGCACGTCGATGACGGCATGCTGTTTGGAGACCCACACGATCCCCAGTACCAGGAGGTGAAGGCGAACATCAACAGTCGTTTCAACATCAAGCACTGGAAGAAGGGCAACGACAAGGAGGCAATCGCCTATCTCGGTGAGGAGTGGTGGCGCCACCCTGATCACATCGAGATCAGCATGCACGAGTACATCGGCAAGCTGACGAAGCACCCCCTTGCAAGGGGTGACAACGAGGAGCGGGAGATGACTCCCGAGGAGCACCACGACTACCGGAGCTTGCTCCAGAAGGTGCGGTGGCCTGTCGCACGCGTGGTGCCACAACTCGCGTATAGTGTCTCGGCGCTCGCACAGAAGGATCCGAAAGGTCGGAGGTTGCTGCACCTGCGAGTGCTCAATGACATCATCGACCGGCTTCAGGACTACGACAAGAGAGGTCTTGCGACTCTCCGGATCCGCCGTGTGGACATCGAGCGCTTGCAGGTGCTCACGCTTATGGACGCTTCGTTTGCGAAGGAACCCGGCTGTAAGAGCCAGATGGGGTTCATGAGTATGATTACGGACACCCGAGTTTTGAAGGAGCTAACCGTATGCTGTCTAGTGGAGTTTCAGAGCAGTACTATTACACGAGTTGTTGGATCTACGATGGCCGCAGAATCTGCGGCTATGTCCGTGGCTTTGGATCGGCAGCTTTACCTCAGGCTGCTGATTGAGGCAATCTTGTACGGGGAGCCGCCCTTGCAAGGGGACTGGAGGCTGGCGCTGAAGGTTCCAGGGGCGCTCGTGACGGATGCGAAGTCGCTCTACGATCACACGTCCAAGATCGGGTCGATGCCGGTGTCTCGGCAGACCCTCATTGACTTGCTGGTGGCCAAGGATTTGATAGAGCAGGAGGCCATCAAGTTCAAGTGGCTGCCTAATAGCCACATGCTAGCGGATGTGTTGACAAAAGCCGTGCAGCCTAACGAGGTACTATCGCAGTTCCTCCGCCACGGCCTGTTCAGCATGGTGCCTACTGCTGAGCAAGAGGATGAGGAGGCACACCGTCTGCGGCTGCGCCGCGGACAGCGTGAGCGAGCCAAGGAGCGGAAGGCCCAGCGTCGGGTCGCCGTTCCAGGGCCTGCGAGCCCGTGAGGTCCTGATTGCAGCTGCTGATGGACCTAGTGAGGGCTACGGTGATGTATGCATATCCTTTGAGTTGATCGTCTGGAGTAGTGTATCCAGATATTCATACTCTTGTTTTTATATTTTGAGCCTCAGGCCGCACCTTGCTTGAGGTGTCTCATGCATATCTTTTGAGTTGACAGTCTGGATTGGTGAATCTAGACATTCATATTTATATTTCGAGCCTCAGGCCGCATCTGCTTGAGGTGTTTCGGCCCGTGGGCTGATATACATTATAATTGCGTGCAGCGTTGCCCTTTCAGAGGGAGCGGCATCGGGGCAGCATTGTACTCACCCAGTGTGAAGAGTGCACTCCCCTGCCCCTCTGCCGCCCGTGCCACCATGTGTGTATGTTGTACACGCTTGTCTTGTTTTGTGGCATGCACGCTGCCCGCCGCTGTTTTGGCCCTAGTCCTAGGGCCCTGGGACGCACCCGCAGTTGGACTGCCGCGCGGTCTTTGCTGAAAACAACTGCACTGACACTTGTGACGTCCTTCGGCGCTGCTCGGAGGGAGGGAAGCATCCTTCTCTTCCTCCTCCTCCGCCTCCGGCTCCTCCTCCTCCTCCTCCGCCTCCGCCTCCTCATTCTCCTCCTCCTCCTCCTCCTCCTCCTCCTCCTCCTCCTCCTCCTCCTCCTCCTCCCCCTCCCCCCCCTCCACCTCCCCTCCCGTCCTCCCTCCCTCCCTCCCTCACTCCCTCTTTCCTCTCTCCCTCCTCCTGCTCCCTCCCTACCCCTTCCTCCCCCTTCCGTCGGAGCCGCTCGGAGGGAGGGACCCCTTCCTCCCCCTCCCCTCCTCTCCCCTCCCCTCCACAATTACACAATGTGAATACTACTCTCCTCTCTCCCCTGATGACATCCAGAAGATGTCCGGCCCCCCTCCGCGTATTGTTTTCTTACACCGGATTCCCGGGAATTGGGATTTCGCTCAGGTTTTTTGTTTTTTTGTTTGTTTTTCAGAATGCTGCTCCTGCTGAGGCGCTGGCCTCATTTTCGGGCTTCCGCTCGTTCCGAATCGTGCTCCCGCTGCAGCGTTGGCCTCATTTCAGCGCTCCCGCTCGTTCCGAATCGTGCTCCCGCTGCAGCTTTCCGCGCTTCCGCTCGTTCCGAATCGTGCTCCCGCTGCAGCGTTGGCCTCACTTCAGCGCTCCTGCTCGTTCCGAATCGTGCTCCCGCTGCAGCGTTGGCCTCATTTCTGCGCTTCCGCTCGATCCGAATCGTGCTTCTGCAGCGCTGGCGTCATTATTTCCAGTGCCATGCCACGGTATGTTTTCCGGTCCTTCCAAATAAGCTCCAGAATCTAGAAAATGCCCCCCCGAAAAACCCATCGGAAGTGATTCCACATTCCGTGCCGATTCGTTGATTTTCTGTGCCGCAGAAGCCCCCCCTCGCTTTGTTGGGGCGTCGCCACGCCATGCTATGCCATGCTACGCGTTGATCTTCAACACCATGCTATGCCATGTAATGCTATGCCACGCTGCGACATCCGACTGTGCGAATAGAGAGGAGATCTACGCCATGGTAAGGGATAGGGAGGGAGGGGTGGGACGTCAGATATGACACGAGCGCACCTAGCTTGCCTCCCCCCCTCTCTCCCTCCCTCCCTCCCCACAAGGCCCGGGGGCACCCGAGTGGGTCCCCACCCCCGTCACCAAGGGTGACCCCGGGCGTTGGGGTTATGGTTCCGGGTCCCCAGCCGCGAAAAACGCAACATAATTCACTCAAGTATGCGAGGGGAGAGACATGCATGCAGGGGCGGCCTGGCGGCAGGGGGGGGGAGAGGAAGAGGAAGACGGGGAGCTGGGCGGGGGGCGGTCGTGGATGTCGTTTTGGTGTCCGTGGAAGGCGGCGTGGTTGTGGTAGTCGTAGTACTCGGAGTGGTGGTGGTGGTGGCGGCCGCCGGCGCTGTGGCAGTCGCGGTGATTGTCGTGGTGCTGCCGTCGTCGAGTTGCTGGGCGCTGGGCGCTAGTAGTGGCAGTGGTTGTGGTGGTCGGCGTCAGGGGTCGGTGGGGTCGAAAGTGGTGATCGTGGTGGGCGTGCTGGTGGCCTTCGTGGGAATCGCAGCTGGAGGTGGTGCTATTGCTGCTGGCGGTTGTCGTGCTGGGGCTGCTGGTGGTGGGAGCCGCGGAAGCGGCCAGCTGCGCCTTACCGCCCCAGGACGCTCAGGATCATCTCCGCGCTCCCGTGCTGGCGGGTGCGCGAGATGTACCCCCCACCCCCTCCCTCCCTCCCTGCCTCCCCCCCTCCCTTCTTCCTCGCGCCGCTGCTGCAGCCGATAACAATCTCTGGGGCCCGCAGGCTACGCGGCCACGCCCAGGGCAAGCTGCGGCGCCTGGACCCAGGACCAGGCGCCCGGGCCGCTGGGGGGTCCTGGAGCCACGGGCACTGGCAGGGTCCGTTTTTTGGGGAGCCACGCCTCGTGCTCTTCAGTAGGGGGAGGGAGGGCGGGAGAAGGGAGGGAGGGGGAAGGGGGGGAGGAGGAGGAGGAGGAGGAGGAGGAGGAGGAGGAGGAGGAGGAGGAGGAGGAGGAGGAGGAGGAGGAGGAGGACCAGTGTAAACCTAAGAGTCATCAGCTATGTTGGAATTAATCCTCCCTCCAAGCTCTCTCTTCACAAGCCCCTACAACGATTCATTTCCACTGAGGGAACTGCCTCGTTGGAAGTCAGCCCTGAATCATGCCAAAACATTGTTCTCGGGATTCCAACGCAACGGGACATCCTGACTGTAGCGTCTTGACGATCCTGAATCGTACCAGAACGCCATTCTTGGGACTTCAACACCGCGAATCAACGTAACGATTGAACCCGCATAATCCTAAAACCTTCCAAAACGCCATTCCTGGTACGCTGATCACGAGCATCCGTGAAAATTCAACAAATCTTTCAAACGAGTGTGCGCGGCTGTAATGCGAGAGCCACATGTTCAAAAACCATCCGCCCTCAATCCGTGAAGCTCCTGCATTGTTTAACGAATGTGCGCGGTGCTAAGGCGAGAGCCACATTTTGAAAACCATCCGCCCTTAATCCGTGAAGCTCTTGCAACATTCGTTTAACACATGTGCGCGGCGCTAAGGGGAGAACCGCATCTCAATCGGTGCAACTCGTGCAACGTTTTAGAACGAATGTGCGCGGCGCGAAGGCGAGAACCAACTTGCAACTTTTTACAACGAATGTGCGCGGCGCTAAGGCGCTTCAGGGTCGTAAATGGTGAGGAAGTCTTAGGCGAAACGCCCGGCCCGCCCTAAACATTGCCCTCGGGGTGCGATAGGGAGAAGATATGTTTGAGGAATTGATTTTTGCCTATGATTTGACACATCCCACGCTCTTGCAAACATCCCACCCACCCACCCGCAACTTGGTTTGCAAAACCTCTTAAGACCGACTACGACGACACCGACGACAACGACTACGACGACACCGACGACGTCTCCGACGACTTCGACGACGACAACGACGCCGACGCCGACGACGACGAAGACGACGACGACGCCAACGAAGACGACGACGAGGGAGGAGGAAGGACGACGACGACGAGGGAGGAGGAGGAAGGACGACCACGACGACAACGACGACGGAAACGACCACGACGCCAAAGAGGACGACGACGACGAACACGAGGAATGACAGAGGACGACGAAGGCGACGACGACGACGACAACGACGACAACGACGAGGGAGGAGGGAGGACGGCGACGACGCGAACGACGAAGAAGGAGGAAGGACAGCGACGCCGACGACGACAACGACGACGGAGGAGGGAAGAAGACGACGACAACGACGACGACGACGACGGCGACGAAATAGGAGGGACGACGACGAGACGTCGACGACGGACGACGACGACGACGGAGGAGGAGGAACGACGACCACGACGATAACGACGACGGAAACGACCACGACGCCAAAGAGGACGACGACGACGAACACGAGGAAAGACAGAGGACGACGTAGGCGACGACGACGACGACGACGCGGGAGGAGGGAGGACGGCGACGACGACGACGACGACGACGCAAGAGCGCGCGCGCACGCTTTTGTTGAACAGCCGTGTTGCGAAACCTTGTGTTTTTGTATGTTTTGTTGGACACGATTCTGAATGTCTTTCGAAACTTATGGATTTTGAAGGTTTTCGGCGTACGCGCGCGACGACGCGCGCGTCTGCAATCCGTTTCATTTTTTGCTGAGGATTCTCGCGACGGCACACGCGCAAGGGCGTTCGACAGATTTCGACATGCGCGCGCGAAGCCCGCTTGAGTGCATTTTGTGAAAATCTTGAAAAACCTTTGGTTTCCTGAAGATTTCGCAGGAGCTCGCGCGGAAGCTGTTTTAGCAAATCAGGGTTGCGAAACCCAGTGTTTTTGCATTTTTTGGGGGAACTCGATTGCGAAATCCTTCCGGCACCGACGGTTTTTGACGGATTTCGGCATGTGTGCGACCACGCGCGCGTGTGCATTTCGTTTCATTTTTGGTAAGGGATTCGTGAACAAGTGTTATGTTAGAACAAAAAATGTCACCGCATAGTGTGTTTCACAAGGGAACCTCAGGGGGGGATACTGGTTGGCCTGGGACATTGTGATTTCATATCTAGGGTGGACATGTGGTCATAATCATATGTGATTTACATACCCGAAAGGCGTAGCGATAATTCCGGGGGGGGGGGGGTAGAGTCTATTCTCTTTTTAGAAAGGAGAATGGAGGAGGGGGAAGAGGAAGGAGGAGAGGAGGAGGAGGAGGAGGAGGAGGAGGAGGAGGAGGAGGAGGAGGAGGACTCCGCCCCCCGCCATCCCTCCGCGACGACCGCCAGCACGACAATCCCCACGACCACCGCCAATACGACCACCACCAGCGGCAGCGCGACGCTCACCACGACCAGCACCAGGAGTGGGTCCGCGATCGCAGCGCCGACGACCACGGCCACCTCCTCCTCCTCCTCCTCCTCCTCTTCCTCGTGCACGCTGTTGAATTCAAGCGACTCGCATGTCGTTGCCGAAGGTGACGGTCCTGCGGGCAGATCCTCTGTTCTGGCCTGCCCCTGGGGTCCCTTGCGGGGGTGCTGGTCACTCTTTCAGGGAACTTCGGAAACCGTAGCGACAGGGGGAGAGCTTGCCCTCAGATGCGGGCGGCGGCCGAGCAAGAGGGGCGGCTGGCTGGCCCGAGCGGTACTGGCTGGGTTTGCGCCGCAGCGGAGCGCCTGGAGAGGGCGCAGAAGCGCTTGACTCAGCTTGAGCAGAAGCAGCGACGCCCTCGCCTGCTAGCGTCTCCGCCCGCGAGCCAGGCCGCCGTCGGCCAGGTTATCTGCTCCAAGCTGGTCTCTAGTGGGTATGATGTCAAACAAGTAGGTATTGGACGGGATCTGGGATTGAATACTACTCTTGTGAGGCGACGTAAGCTCACCACCAGAAGCGCGAGGTTCACCAAGGGGCTCAAGAAGAGGCTCAGCTCCATCAGGAGCCTTTCCATGGACATTAGGAATGCCCGCAGACAGGTCTCCACCGGGGCAAGCCACAGCTCTTCTGGGGTCACCCGGGCCCAGGTATCTTCCCAACTAGCTCAAGCGGGTTAGGGGGCGGATTGCGCGCGGCCTTGGATATGTCCCCAAGTATGGCTGTACCACCACAGGATTTGCGTTGTCGCCGAAAAGGACAGGGGTAGGAGGACCCTGCTCACTATTTTCGCTGCAGATCTTGACAGCCTGGTTCGACATGGTCAACCAGGACTCAGTGTTGCATGCGTCGGTTCGTGAGCGATGGACCCTCGCAGTAGAGAGGCTTTCTGGGAAGTCTAGCTGGAGAAAAGTTCGCCACCCTCCAGGACTTTTGGCAGTTACCCCGTGGGGCCTTGGGCGGGATTTTTCCCAGCCCTACTTGGTTGGGTAGTCGTTTTGAAAAGTGCACTGCGGTCGCGTCCTTCTCCTCCCGCCTCCCGCCTGCTTCCCGCCTCCCGTTTCCCGCGAGACCTCGCCGTCCCTCTGGGGGGATGGGCTGCGATCTGCGAAAATGTCGCTACTTTCGAGGGCTGCTGGTGGGTCCGGCGGAGTGAGGCACTGCGCGGACTTGAGCGGGGCCCACCCGTCCCTGGGGGGCTGCGATTTGCGAACTTATCGCCGCTTTCGGGGGCTGCTGGTGGGTCCAGCGCAGTGGGGCGCCGCGCGGGCGTGAGCGGGCCCCCCCCCGTCCTTGGGGGGCTGCGATCTGCGACGTTGTCGCCGCTTTCGAGGGCTGTTGGGCCCAGCGGATCGAGGCGCCGCGCGGACTTGAGCGGGGCCTTCCCGTCCCTGGGGGGCTGCGATCTGCGGCCCAGCGGAGCGAGGCACCGCGCGGACTTTGGCGGGGCCTCCCAGCCACTGGGGGGCTGCGATCTGCGACGTTGGCTCGCAACTTTAGAGCTGCTGGTGGGTCCAGCTGAGTGAGGCACCGCGCGGACCTGAGCGGGGCCCCCCCGTCCTTGGAGGGCTGCGGTCAGCAAAATTGTCGCCGCTGTCGAGGGGCTGCTGGCGGGGCCAGCGGAGCGAGGCACCGCGCGGACCTGAGCGGGGCTTCCCAGTCCCTGGGGGGCTGCGATTTGCGAAAGTGTCGCGGTTTTCGAGGGCCGCTGGCGGGCCCAGATGATTGAGGCGCCGCGCGGGCCTGAGCGGGACCTCCCCGTCCTGGGGGGGCTGCGATCTGCGAAATTTTCGCTGCGTTCGGGGGCTGCCGCTGGGTCCGGCGGAGTGAGGCACCGCGCGGGCCTGAGCGGGGCCTCCCCGTCCTTGGGGGGGAGCTGCGATATGCGAAATTGTCGCCATTTTCGAGGGCTGCTGGCGGGTCCAGCGGGGAGGCGCCGCGCGGGCCTGAGCGGGGCCTGCTCGTCCGTGGGGGGCTGCGATCTGCGAAACTGTCACCGCTTCCGAGGGCTGCTGGCGGGTCCAGCGGAGTGAGGCACCGCGCGGACCTGAGGTCGTCCTCGGGGGGCTGCGATCCGCGAAATTGTCGCCCCGTTCGGGGGCTGCCGCTGGGTCCAGCGGAGTGATGCACCTCGCGGACCTGAGCGGGGCCTCCACGTTCTTGGGGGGCTGCGATCTGCGAACTTGTCGCCGCTTTCGAGGGCTGCTGGCGGGTCCGGCGGAGTGAGGCACCGCGCGGACCTGAGCGGGGCTTCTCAGTCCTTGGGGGGCTGCGATTTGCGAAATTATCGCCGCTTTTGGGGGCTGCTGGTGGGTCCAGCGGAGTGAGGCACCGCGCGGATCTGAACGGGCCTCCCCGTGCTGGGGGGGCTGCGATCTGCGAGCCTCCCCGTCCTTGTGGGGGCTGCGATCTGCGAGACTGTCGCCGCTTTCGAGGGCTGCTGGCGGGCTCGCAACTTTCGGGCGC